GGGCCCCATGATCACTGCAGATGGTGACACCAGCCACAAAATTAAAAGACACCTGCTTCTTGGGAGGAAAGGGCCGGTCTACCCCCTTCAGGAAAGCCTGAAGGCGGCGATTGGCGGCGGCGGGGGAACCCTGGGAAGTCTCCCATGGCAGTGGGGAAGCCCTGGGAGGCCTCCAAAGGTGGCAATCGGTGGCGGCGGGGGACCCCCAGGTGGTCTTCCATGGCGGTGGTTAAGCTCTGGGAGGCCTCCAAAGGCGGTGATGGCGGTGGCAGGGGACCCCTGAGAGGCCCCCGGCAGTGGTGGGGAAGCCCCGGGAGGCATCTGAAGATGGCGATCTGCGGCGGTGGGGGACCCCCAAGAGGCCTCCCCATGGCAGCGGGCAAAACCTGGGAGGCCTCCAAAGCTGGCGATGGCAGCTGCTTCGGACCCTTGAGAGGCCTCTGGCAACAGCAGAGAAGCCCTGGGAGGTCTTCATAAGCAGCGATGGTAGCGGCACCAGAAGCCTGGGAGGCTGAGCCTCCCTTTCTCTAACCGTTGGGGCAAAAGAAGCACCCTCGGTGACACCAACGGTTAAGTTTTATTTTATTTTCCCACCCTTTTCCCTGACTGTTTCTGTTCATAAGTCAAAGCAAAATTTTGTGGCTGGAGCTGTTCGTAAGTCAAATTGTTCGTAGGTCAGGGCGTTTGTAAGTCAAGGCACCACTGTATAAACTTTTATGGATACTGTCACTTCTTCAGATGCATGAAATAGGCATGTTTTTCTTTTGTAAAATACAACAGAGCACTTGCTGGCAAATCATGGCCTGCATCACACTGAAAGATGTGATGTATGAATCCTTAATGCTTTGAATAACACTATTGTCTTCTGTGTACCTGCAGCAGGTTAACACTGTCATCAACAACACTGGATCTATAGTCTTCCCAATGTGATACTGTGATAGGGTTCGTTGTCAGCATCTGACAGTTCCTTAGTTTTGGCGGGAAATGATAAGAGAGACGTTTCTTTAACATCAAACTCTTTATTAAGAGAACTCTTAGGTTTCTCAACAATAACTTCTCTAAGGTCAACGTGACCAAAGTCTACAGGAAAATCTGTCCTTTATAAAGGTAAATTTCCTCCATAGCTTTCTTTCCTCAACAGGGAGACTGTCCAAATCTCTCCTGATCGGTTGGTTTTCTCAAGCATCCACTCCTCATTGTGCATAAAGCCCTGCAGCAGGGCTGACGAGTCTCCCTCAGGTGACTTCTGATTCAGCTGCAGAGGTCCCGGATGGATTACCTTCCTCCAAGGACCCCAGCCTCGAGGATACACCAGCATGGTCCATTCTTCTGGCCCTAAACCTTCTATTGGTATTTTTACCTCACCCTCTTTTCTATCTGGCACTATACTCTCACACCTTCCATCTCTTGTCTCTTTCTTCTGTGGTATTTTAAACACTTTCGGTCCTTCCTCCTCCTCCTGCCACTCGTCTTCCAAAACCACCACCTTTTTGTCTCCCCTGATTTTTACCCCTCCTCCGTCGTCAAGAATACATCTACCCCCTTCTTCATCTTCTCCAACTCGTCCCCCTTTTCTCCCACCTTCAGCACTTTCAACTGCTCTGTAACCTTCTCTATTTCTGTATCTCCATCCTCTCTATCCCTATCCTTCTCTATAGACATGTGAGGGGATGGCTCACTCTCTCTCTCTCCTGCTCTTTTATTCTGCAGCTCACAGATACACAATCATTTTGCAATATCCAGTATCCAAGTTAAAACATAAAGAGATGCAAACAGCACATCAGGAATTACTGTACATGTAATTAAAAATTAATAGAAGAACATTTCAGTCTCCCATTTGTGACTTCAGATGACCATTTCTGAATAAACGAAGTCCAAGGACAAAAATTACATTCAGACATCTTTTTACAAAATTAAGAGCAGAAATAGGCATCATCCAGCACCCAAGACAATTTTTTCCTGCTTCTAATATGGCCCCATTGCACTATATACTGCCTTCCCCCCAATAAAAAGAAAACGGTGGCATGGTTTTCAAATACCTTTTAGCTAATATATAGCTATTTTTATATATATTTTTTAAATATAAGTTTTAAATGTGTAGCTATTTTAAAGTTAACCTGCCATATTTATATTTATTTAGTAGTCACTATTATTTTCAGCAGTAATTTCTATGTAAATCATAATGTGTTTTGTTTGTTTGTTTGCTTGTTTGGGGTTCTTTTTGCCTTAACTGACCTACTGTATTTGCCGGCGTACAAGATGACTTTTTGGGCCCCCAAAAAATGCCTCCAAGTGGGGGGGTCATCTTGTACACCGGGTGCACTACATTTGGGCTCACTCGCCCGCCACCCGCCTCTTTCCCTTTTCCTCCTCCTCCTGCCGCCCCCTCAGCCTCTTGCCCTCTTCCTCGCCCTCAGCCAGAGCCCGCCGCCCCG